TTTACATCACTTTTGAGTAGGATACAATACCGATCGTGTATATTTTCAGCTTTGTCACAATTTTCAGTAACCTCAGATAGCCTCGCACGGAAACGAAACAAATCGTGTTCGAAGTCTCCATCATAGTTATCAATCTTATGCCACAATGTCCGGTTGAAATGTTGATAAACAATTAAGTCATTTGCTAGGCCTTTACTGAGTATTCTTTCCATTGCTTTCGTGATAGGTTGCCGTTTTCTTTTAGATACTTTCCTTGATCGATATAAGATGTCATCAAATGTCCAACACATCATTTTTTTCAACAGGACAAGTGATTCGTCCATATATTCTGTTATCAACACTAGGTCAAATTCTTTGTCCAATTCCACCAATCGTGATTCTTGTCCTGCTTTAATCCCAAAACAATCCAAGAATGATTTCACCTTTCGTTTTGAAGCTTCCGTTTTTTGTAAATATGTTGCAAATGGATTGCTGGAATTCTCCAATCTCTTAGTGTTTCTGGTGTAATAGTATAATGACTCAAATTGTTTGAACGGTGAACGCAGAATACTAACGAACTTCGCTGTTGGAATTAAAGCTTTTAACGAATTATAATCATAGTTCTGGATGTGACTAGCAATGTAATTGTAACCAGGAAATGTTTCAATGCACGAATATTTTATAGCAAGTACTTCAGATTCTCGAATGCGCAACAAATTTAATTTTGTAGACAGCGATGACAACGCAGCTGTTAGATTGTTTCTTAACCCATATCTCTTGAGCAACGCCGCGAGTGTGCTGCTACCGGTTTTATATGTTTTAACATATATAAAATTGTGTTCCGGTGTACATGTGTCGAGCCTTTGCATTGTAAGGATAGAGGCATTAAACTTTTGGTCTCTGACATTGATCTGTTTTGTATCTTCAGTGAGTTTGATGCCATGTGGTTGAGGAATCAGATGTTTTTGCTTATGTTTCACTCTCTTGTAAGACAAACTGAAACGAATAATTTTAAAATAGTTTAGTTGAAAAAGAGAAACATAAAGGGTAAAAACACATGGACTGAGAGGTACGAACGCTAAAAGCATTTATTAGTCAAAGTATTTATTTATTAGGCAAGATACTTGTTTCGCGAACCTTGCAATGGTAATGCAAAGGTCAATTGCATTCAATTACAAAACCGGCAAATACAATGATATGACTAAATGAAATATAGGTTATAACATAAGTGGCCACAAACACACATTTTATTTGTAGTAGTCCGGTATAAGTGCTTGTGTGTTTATACTTAATATTGAGCCTTCTATTTCAACAACAAAAAACTTTGGGACTACTAACCTTTCATGTCCTATGTCTGCCATATATTTGATTGATAATTTCCATGGCCCAATATAAGCATAAAGAAGGAATGTGACAATCAAAACAATCAACAGGGAAGTGATAATCACCTTCATCACTGATGCGCTCTGTAATTGATTGAACACAGTTTTATGCAGTTCCATAGATTGGAATATTCACATCATCCTCATCCTCACACAAACATGTATCATTTATTACATCTTACTGTTGTTCCACATGCTGTGATTGGTTAAGACTCAGTCACATGTCTACATTGAAAAAAAATGGATATTACTAGTATATTGTCCGCGCAATAGGTACTACATGTCATTTTCGACGTCACTACTACTCCGTCCCGTTCGCTGTGGTTTTTGGAGTTGCTTTTAAGGTTTTGAGAGAACTTCGGTCATCCAAAATAAACAACGAACATGCTAGGATGGATATTATGAAAGATACTCTGTTTTGATATTGATATCATGATCGCCAACCCTTGGGCAGACAGCAAATCGTGGTTACTGAAATCATGAAATCTGGTTACTGAAAACATGTACTCAAAATTTAACATGCTAAAAATAATGATTATATGAATAGAGTAATATCCATTTACAATCTCATTATGTAAATAATAACTGTGACTGTTTACAATTTCCATAAGAAAAACGCATCATCGATATACTCACAGTTTTATTTCCACAGAATATGACGATATCCTCAATACAATGATTTGATTGCTTTACTGGTTGAAATAGAACTAGATAAACTATAACATACACATTATGTGCTGTTATTATATGTTAATTCAGTTGCCGTCTGTTTTTGTAGTGGTCTGCTTATTATTATTTATCATAAAATAATATGTATCTTAGTATCATAATATATTACAATAACAATACCTGTGTTAATATCATAATATATTGCAAAAACAAGGAAATATGATGGCAACTGAATAAACACTACAACACGAAATTGATTCATATTATTAACAAAATAAAAAAACATTTGTGGATTTAACTCTTGGTATTCTGTCTTAAACATACTTTGATCAATGTTGATGAAACTTGGCATTCATATCACTATTTTTAATATTTTCTTCCCATTTTTTTTTTAAAGTTTCATCAGAATAGTTCACTCCTACAGCAGACTATGTGACATAATTCAACAGATTGACGTGTTATTGAGGACCTGGAAGACTAACAAAGTAATTTAAGTTGATTTATATTTGGTAATTTAAAGACTACGATTTTGTAGTAATGATCCAATATTTTTAAAATCAATGTAATTGAATGTATTTTGTTTTAAATACTGTTCTCTGCAGGCTCTACACCATTGATTCAAATTCATTATTGACTTTTATACTTTTTTAAGTTTTCGGCTTTGACTTTCCTGTACTATATGTATGAACTGCGAACAAAATTGGTTCTAAATTGGTATTATGCGCTTCTTTACAAGACAAAATGTGAACATTCACTTGTCGCCAATGACCCGCAGATTGACCCTTAAAAAAACTCCGTAGATTACATTTCTAAAATGTTGTCGGTGATTTGAATTATGTTAAAATGTACATGGATAGATTCAAATTTTAAGTCCGCCTATTTACAGTGTTGGCGGTGTTTTCTTCTACTGTTACACGCTTTCAAGATACCTAGAATTGTAACTTCTATTTGATTTTGTGGGGATTTAGATTTTCCTTTGTTTTTTTTAACATAGTAAATGTTATATACATCACATTATTCTGCAACAAATCTATCAGCTCGTGGTTCTTATGAGCACCTAGATTTATATACCAATTTTTACAATTTTGTCATTGGTTTTTAGTGCATTTTTAACCGTAGAAAAAGCACTGCACATTTTGCAAAGTAATTTCGCACCATGCAGACAATATCACACCATGCTTGAACAAAATGTCAATTTTTAACAAGATGTGTTTCCTGGGAAGAGCAGAATGTACATAACTATTTTGTGGATGGTGACTATTAGTAAAGTGGGAAATAGAATTTAAATACGTTTTTATCACCAGTAATGTAATATATGTACCAAGGAATCAAAAAGAAAAAGAAACATTACTCATAAAACCATATCTCTTTGACGAATTTGTTACGTATATAACATGTGTTGGTTCTGTGTAAAATTATATTTATTTTTATGTTTGATCAGATGTTATTTATTATTATCTGTTTAACAAATCCACAACATGTATGACTAGTTGATACTCGCATTTTCTTCCTATTATAGGTGTTCAATTTCATCAGAAGGAATACACCTCTATATAAAAATTGAATCTGAGTTGTACAAATTTTGAGCATGCTGAACTATTATAATCATAAGACTAACATATGTATCATAAGTTCGAGCAGCTTATAAAAATGAAATTGGGAGAGAATGAGATATTCTGGTTACCAAGCTTCCTGTCTAACACAAGCTAGTGTCGAGAATATTAAATCTTGCAAGCAAGTGTCTGAGCATTTTATCTGGTGAAAGCTAGTGTCTAGACATACTATCCGACAGTGAAAGCTAGTGTCTAAGCATATTATTTGTTGAAGGCCAGTGATCAAGAATGGGAGCCTGCATATAGAATACCAAGCTAAAACTTAGGTCCAATTTGTCTAAATAACTATTTCGCCACTGCTTTCTCAAGATTGTATTTTGCAATGCTTTTTTATTTGCATTACTGATGCATGTTCATATTGGTGTGTAATGTTTGATAACCTCACCACATCCTCATTTTTGTAGTGTTCACCTATGTGTGTGTGTATGTATAGAGTACGGGATCTATTATGTCCATGGATGTCATTATGTACATGACAAACCCACTTTTACCAGTAAGTCACCTGTTATATATAAAAACATGACTATGTGCATTTCCAATATACCAAGACTCAAGAAGAGCTACATGATGCATGTCAAACATTGCTGTTGGCTACTAATGAACAGAATGAATAAAATTTTAATGCAAAGGCTAACTGACCGTGCAGGTGATCGATGTGGCAGAATGACAGGGATTTCTTCAAAGAGTTTGTGAACTTCTTTTCTCGTATCCCTCTGTCACGGTGCCCAGTGGAGTGTTCCCTTTGAAGAATTAACTTAGGTAGACCATGATCCTTCATTCTTCATTCACAGACATGCCCTGTCTAACATAGCTGTGTTTTATCAGCAAGACCCCAATGCTGTTGATTTTTGCCTGTCCCAACATCAACACATTGGCGATGTGCTTTCTGAGGGATGAGCCGGTGGAGAACGTCTGTCTTCTTCAGACTAAATTCGAGGTAAAAAAGCTATCTGTCTCCAAATCAAATTTTACAGCAATTCTATTTTGTCGCGTCGAATATATTTGGAATATGTGACGAGTTGACGTTGATGGTACATTTGCTATGCAAATCAAAAGTCTACTTCCGCTGAATCGAGCAAGATATTGACGGCGGTGCATTGCCATTATCCCACACTCATCGGATTGCAGAGATTTGTATATAATAATATATCGGGTAAATAATATACCTAGTACGAAATGAGGCAGCTGGTATGCAGCTCACTTACATATTTAATCACGCAATTAATATAGTAATACTAAACTATGAAGATTCCGTGCAAATTACACTACAATATGTGGAAAGTATTTACAAAACACAATACGTAGCAAAATACAATATTGTTGGTTCTAAGATATTGCTAGCAGATAAAACATGGGTGAAATATGAATTGATAACATATTTGTGCAAATTCGAATTCGTCGGTGTTCGCCAATCTGAATAAAGAATAATAGATCATATGTTCCTTTGTAAATGTATGTAAAATTAAATAAATTTGAAAGTATGGATGTTTTGATATAGATAAATGTCTGGCGTATAAAGTATCTGGCGTTGTGCGTTGTATCTTTGCATGATTTGAGTAGATTATTGGATAATACAGCTTTGGGTGCTGAAAACGAAAAAAAAAGTTTATTTGCAAACAATGAATGTCAGTACATTTCTTACTTACATTATATGATGAGATTTTTCAGAATGAGCAATGTGTTTTACACGCTTTGTATACATCGCGATGGGTCCCACTTACTTAATAACTGTAAACCAAAGAAGGTTAATGGCTGATGTTCATTTGCTAAATACAAGTTTGTACATAATATATACTAATAACTTCAGTAAAAATAAAATGCAAAATTTTCCTAAAATCTGAGTATAAAATAACTGGTTTGTGTAAATTTCGTGCAAGCATGTCAAACAGAGCCCTGCAAGAAATTGTACAGTTGCGCACGTGACTGCAGATTCACGCTACCCTGTGTAGCTCAGCGCATGTCATAATAGTCAGATGATAATAACGGCATTGTTTAACAGTATCGGGGACATTTTGTGTGAACTGTGAAACATGTTACAGCCACTACATGCAATTTAAATAGAACTGGAAATGTATCGTTTCACGAGACCCTGAAGTTGCATTACGGTGACTCAGTTGGGGAAACGACTAAAAACTCTAGAAGTACTGGACGTACAATATAACACCAACATAGAATAAAATTCGACGAGTTGGCATTTAAAATCAAAATAATTCATGACGCATCAAAACAACGGACAAATTTAGAAACTGAATTGAAGATTCTTTGTTACTCTGAATGTGTGCTTTTGCCATTTGAATACGAACAACACTCAAACATTGCTTTAGGGGCGAGTTTCGTAATGAGAATTGTCTGTTTAAATAGTCAACTGGTAAAAACAATAACATACAGTTCATGTCATTGTTAGTTTGTGGCAGTTTCAATGAGCTATCCCTCAACTGTGCTATAAAGATATATACATTATGCACAATATGCCAATGTTATGCTAAATACAACACGCTTAAGTCAACTTACTTTTGTGATTTTCTCTTTTTCCGTTTAGTCTTGTTGTTTCTGGTTTCTAGTTTACGTCCGCTGTTTCGGGTATTCTGAGAAGATAAACAATAAATCAATGACGAGGGAAATCGATATCAGGCACAATATGATATCCTACTAAGTCTGTTTTTCGTAGTAATTCTTACTAAATTTAACACAAGCAACAAACAAACAAACAGTATTAAATAAAAAGCCTCATGTTAGCCTCAGCACTAGCAATCAGATCACTGTTATCATTTAAAGGCTGATATACCTTCTCATGACGTGGTTTGTCTTGTTTTGCTTCCAGTGAGGAAGACACTTGCTCTGAATTTAATGGCAGACCTGCTTGTTGGACAGTTGCGTACCCCTTTGTTATCTTTTCATGCTCTTCATTTACACACTTTGGCCGATCCACACTAATAGAAGGTTGTGATGAGCTTCTTTCTCGCGGTTCGGGTATCACTTCTCTTTGTCGCTATCGTCAAAAAAATGTATTTAAAAAACAGAACAAGATGAGGTAGGTAAGGACAAATAGTAAACACGATTATCATCTATAATGCAATTAACAGAGCTTATTGGTGACACTTCTCACTAAAATTAATCATACAGCGATACAATATACAACTGAAAATAATTAAAACAGCATATTGATGTAGGTAGGTCACGGTTTCATCAATTAAATCTCACAATTCAACATAACGAATACACGTAGTAATTCCCTTAAATCGAATCGATATTAATGTATTGGTGTCAATATATTTTCAAAGATTCGAACCACATAACATAAAATTGAAATTATATAGATAATCTAATGTAAATATGTAACTACTTATACAGTTAACAATAATCTGAATAACATAGTATATTCGTGTATGCATACTCATTTTGATCTAGTATTAATTGTATATCTTTTGCTGGCATGTATTACCTTAATTGTATCGCCCCTTTGATTTTAAGTAATATATACACTATTTAACACAACATAGCTTATATAATATTGTTCAGACACAAACAAGTTGTCGCACGAGATACCTCATAAATAGAGTTGTAAAGAGAAAATCGGTTTTCACATGGGGAAATGGGGGGAAAGCGATCTTGGGGTAATGGGTCTTGGGGCATGGGGTAAAACAGTAATATGCAATCCCAAACAAAATAATGAATAACATGTTTTAGAAATATGTAAATTAGTCAAGGCCTAGAAACCAATATGCTTACTTTATCATCTAAAAGCATATCACGATTAGCCATGGGTTTCAAATCAACAAATTGTTTTGCTTTTGCTAAGGTTACTTTGATTTTTTTGAAGTATTGAATATTTAAATTTGGGTTTCCTCAACAATTCAAAGAATCGTGTTGGTAACACTAGTGGTAATCACGTCAATCAAACCTACATCAATGTTTAGAGATTTCCTGTAGTCTTCTTTCATCACATGGACCAATTTAATGTACTCCCCCTTTCGTCCAAATTTGGTATCTTTCAACTCGCTAATCATCTCCAATTCCCACTCGGACAGTATCCCTTCTCCATCCATCATTTCTTGCTAAAATAGAAAATGCATGATTTAAAATAAATTGTCGTATAGCTCAGATCCTCATCAAACAGTCTTATCGGCGTACTAATAACTGCTCGACAATACTATAATGTGGTTATATGATATTATTATTCATCTGTCACCGTAACGCCACAAGCTACAGCGTGCCGTAATTCTGTGGTATTTTACAGGGCTTTTTCATCCTACCATATAAGGAAATACGAATCCAAATATGGAATGATTACGCGCGTAAGCGCCCATCAAATAATAAAAACAAACATGGATGCCATCTGAAATTAACCAGACTCCACACAAAGAAGTTTGCTGATTCTGTTCTAAACTTTTTGGATTCCGGCATTCCAACGAGGTATCCTTGGAAGGAAAAGATGTATAATAATAATAAGGTTATAACGAGATTACCTCAAAGTATGCACTCAGACAGTAAGCCGCGCGTCGATCGATACCCTAGCTGTACTGTCTTCGTGCATACTTGTAGGTATTCCCGTAATAACCTTATATTATTACATGGACATCGTTATGAACGTGTTACGAACCAATTTTACACACGTCAATCTCACATCACTACTCATTATTTTTTTTCAAATATGTTCATTCAAATAGATTGTATATGCAAATATAAGATCTCGCTGTGAACGAGAGAGCAACAAGACTTGTTTTTGTATTTTAAATAGTGCTACGATCACCCGTCATCGTTTGTACTGTTCTCTATGGTTACAGTGAACACAGGGGGACAGTGAACACAATGACATGTGTGAACGGGACACTAATTGTCGGGCAAAATCTCGAGAATCTCTCGCTCTCAACGAGATCTCGACAGTCATTCGCGACTGAGGTCTATGTCATATGAAAGTGGAATAGAACAACCTGTGCATGGTTCATTTTCACACTTAGAATTTGACTTTAATTGTCGGACTTTCACACAGATGACTGAATCAAATGATAGTGTTTTTTTCCGATGCATCACCCAGAAGATGTACAATTGGCGGGTTCGATTTGTAATTGTATATTGTATATTCTGTATATTGCGATATTCACGGAATTGAATTCCGAGACCACAATGTCATCGAGTGAATTGACCCCCCTCCCATAATAATATGCTAATAGTATGGACTACTTACTTGGATGTCGAGGTTTGTGGTCGAAGACATACTTGACATTTCACAACTTTGACTGATTTCAGACGGTGTGATATTCTCGTCTAATAAACACTCTTCTTGGCAGATTTCTATGGATTCACACGAATTGTCAATGACGTCCTGTCCTAAGCTGGTATGGCTCTGTGAATGAAATCGCAAACAATAATAAATGGTCGATTCACCGTGGTCAGCATCATATTTAACATTGTCTTATGTTATGAAGTTCACCATAATATGACTGTATAGGATAAAGTTAACGAGTTGGAGTGCATTCTTTAATGTATTGAACGACACGAGAGCAACAGGCCCAAGTGAAGTTTAATATCTCTTGATGAAGCACGGTGTCCTTAATCGGCGAACGTTGACACATTCACACGGTGGGCGTCACAATACCACACTTACAGTGAACGTCACCACATATACAGCGAACGTCACCACACTTACTGTGAACGTCACCACACTTACAGTGAACGTCACCACGTTCATATCCGCATCCACAATGTTCAAGGAAACTTGTTAATAATGTAAGACTTGAAGAAGAGAAATACTAATACATATTTCAATGCTTACCACTTCACCGCCTAGGTTATCAATGCTTGTGTTTTGCACGTCGTTTTGCGATTCCGACTCTACACACGTAATGGCGTTCAAATCTTTAACAGCTTCTTCGATTGAACTACCATCATTCTTGAGGAATCATTGTGAATAATACAAAAGTAAATGCGTTCTTTTAATGAAGTACGATATTTAACACAAATGTGTTAATTGACAATTGTTTACGTTACAAATATGACGAATTTGAAATAAAAATATGAAATAATTTCAGAAAAAACATGAAACATTTAGTTTCTGTAATAGAACTGATATTCAAATGGCCGATGATGTCGCGTTGGGAACGATAAAGTCACGCGAGATGTTATGCTGCCAAATATTGTTCGAATATCTGCCGCCATTGTGAACCGAATTCCATGCCTACATAGGTCGGCGTAATAATGGACGCGCTGGTGGCAGAAAGAGAAACAATATTTCGGGGCAAAAACAAGTCACGTGGCTCTCCGATCCCCGAGGAAAATAGGGTATATGTATTCACCTGGCTTCTCTATATCGCGATGTGTGGTGAAATTGTCAAAATTATATACATCTTGACTGATTGTTGATCGATGTTAATAACCCATATCCCAATTTTGAAAATAATAGTGTCAATGCTAAATATAAATTCACAAGAAAATTGACTTTATCGTCTCAACGAAAATACTAATAGCTTAAAGCAATGGTCAGTCTCGTGTCTAAACAGTCGCTGCAACAGACGAGCATGAAGTATTTCAACTTCTCGGAAACATTTGTTCCCGTTCATTGCGATAATAATAATTGCATTGCATACCTTTCCATATATATGACTCGTTAAACTTGACTTGCATCGAAGTGTATTCCCTTTCTCGTATGTAGGAATATTATTAACATGATCGGCATTAGGATGTCCACTGCGAGCTTCCAGATGACATTCATTGGCATGGCAACAATCTTGTAATTCTATGATGAATATAATATAAAACACGTGACGCAGTATATGTATGTAACATTTCACCTGATACACATTTCACAATGCAATATTATACAATCACAAATGTAAACTCGTTTCAGGTCGAAAGAAAGTCATAGTTCCTCATCAAATGGATTGTAAGAATACATGCGTCAAATCATACCTTGTTTGCATTCTTTATCTGATTCTGGCGATTCACTGTTCGGTGATTGAGTGTCACTGGTAGCTGTAAGGGCGTTGTTAATATCATGGTTGTGTACCTCCTTTCGTAACGGACGTATCAACTGATGTATTGTTCCTTCGAGAGTAAATGAAATTATTTATATAATTATGCGATAAACGAGGTGGCTTACAATATGACCTTTTGATTAGTTTTTTTTTTTTTAATCCATGTTGATTTTTTTAAATAGGCTTTCAATCCCTATTTTGTTTGAAATCCGATTCAAAAATCTATTCTATTTTGGGGGGATTCAATTATGAAAGATATATTTGTGTTTGAAATACCTACTCATTTTTAAAATACAATTTTAAGTAATATGTTTGTACAAATGACTAGACCACTGCCATGCCTAGTAAATACTTTTATAGCGTAGAAGTACGACTTTCTGACACGCCGTTTCTGACATGCATATCAAAAGTATTTTGCGAGTATAATATGTTCAGACAAAGGCTAATAAAAGGGAAATGACTTTTAAAAAATCACTACATTTCAGATTTCTTTCTCGCATTCCTTAGTATTCTTCGAGAGTGTGTTACAGACAAAACGTTTCTACTGTCATGCTTAACAATACTGGTACAGTATTATTGATGTTGAGTATATTCGTAGCAAGATAATTTGGTAATAATGAATTTTAACTTTTTCACCAAAAAAATGTATAAATGCAGATACACTGTTGCAGGTTTCAAAAATATAGTCCGTTGCATTCATAGTCCAGAACCTGACGATATTCAGCTATGCAGTACCACAGTTTACACATTTCATCTATACAGTTCTTATTGCCGTCGGAAAACCCCCGAGGACATGATATGCCACCATGATGTACTATGATGTGCTATCTTACTAGAAACTAAAATAACATCAATATATTATTACATTTGTCATCGTCACGGCGCGGGTCTTATTTATTATTAAATAACACAAATAAATCAGGCTTCATAATTTATTTATGATAAATTAAATATTAAAACAATGTTTGCTTTATGGAACTAAAAGCGTCAGTATGTTTGTAAGTTCAAACACTTACATTTTCTGTAGAAAGATAAGTACTATTAATGTGATATATATTTCTAACCTGTTAGATTGGTTACTACTTCTTTTAATAGTTCAAGTTCTTGAGAATAATGATCACCAACATTTACCAACGAATTCTTTGTTAAGTCCTCATTTAATTTGTCTACTCTTGTGTTTAAAGCAGTGAGTGAATGTTCAGTCTTGACCAGTAGCTGTCCCATGTCAGCTGTCAGGTCATTCTCTGGACCATTTCCCATCTTGTCTGTGTATCAACAAAAAAATAGTATTGTAGTTTATGCGAATCTATAATATTCCAATATTCGTTTCCAATATCGCACACAATATTGATAAGTACGACTCTCACCATTCAAGTTACGTATTTCCGGGCCAACATACGACTTTTGGCAAGTACTTTTACCAGCCTCATCCTAAGAAAGAACAGATATATTTGTGATAAATAGAACTTGTATTTTAATGCAAGTTTGTAACTTGTAATACACGGACAACAATGCGGAGAATTTATTAAGAGATTCTAGTCATTTGTGATTCAAAACATGACATAGAAAAAACAAACTACTGTTAGTGACAATATTCATGCCGGGTCGGTTGATGTCGGTCGATCGAGCGTGGTTGGCGCAGAGATACGTATACCATTGCAATAATGCACCATAACAGAAATATTAAAGCGGGATGGTCGTCACCTGCGCACGCGCGGGAATCGAGTGCCAGGCGACGATGACAACACACGCTAAAACGTAAAGGCTCATGGGTAGACGCTTGTTTATAAACAATGACACGCTATCCGACGCATGCGCAGGTGACGACTCCTCCGCTTTAATTATGTACTACTCCGCTATGTACTTCCAATTCAATATTACACAACATTATCACAATTTCCAAAAGTCAAGAGGAGATTTCGTACGGGATAACAAAAATTATAGAATTTACTACGAAAAAAACATAGCAATACCTCAATTTGGATGGAAAAACAATTCATGCGTTCACCGTTAATTCCCCAGAATGATTTCACCGGTTCGCTAAAACAAGGAAAACATTATCCATAATCATTCAGGTAGATTTTATAAGACGAAGAAAGAAAGGTATGTGGTTCACACTATTTTACGACCATTGTTTTCACGATAAATAAACATGCAAATAATTGAAAAGATGTTGCCAGATTGAAATCCACGGCATGTATGTTTCGAGTACTGACGCATCATTTGACGCACACTTGATCAGATTGCCTACCTAATATGCATAGAGCTATGACACATAATGTTTGTCATGAAATCACGAAGACCAGTCCTCCTTTCTTCAAGAAAATCTGTGTAAGAAACATACGTCTCAATAAACATAGAACATCGCATTGTAGTCTGTATTTGCTTTCAAACTATCCCTTCATAATTGTTTACTGTTACTATTTGACATTGCTATACGGTTAACGCACATACATTTATATGCAGTTATCATGAACTAATTTGTAGGAGATGGCGTACACAGCAATAAAGACAACCAATCATGTGGTTGACTTCACTCCATGTCAATATATGGAAATTGACTTTGAAATTACTTGCAGCAAACATCTCAGCTCCTTGCTACGTCACATTATTTTACGTAAGCGTCTCGGTCCCGTCAAATTACACGCTTTCAATACTGTTAATATACTGTTACTTATCGTCAATATACTGTTATTTTATCGTTTACATGGACATGGTCACAAAGAAACCATTCTGTCAACACTAAGCCGATTTGTAATTAATTATCGAAAGCATAATGTAGTGTTTGTTACTCCCCGTGTTCAACGTAACATGGAATATTCGAACGGTCAAAATAGCATTCGAACTCTCTGTTACACCAAAGAAACAACAACAGTTGTTTGTGCTTTTATTCTCTAGAGTAATTGCTTAGACTTTGCAGCTTGTATTATTGTAAATTAATCATCTGGTACGTATTGGGAGCGTATTCAATTAAATATTGTGAAATATCTATTACATTAGTATGAAATAATATGAAATGTTCTATAAAACACATAGCTGTTATCATTTAAAAAATAATTATATTTTCATTTCATTCCTTATGACTTTATTCTGAATTATAGATATATTTCATTCCACTCCCACAAAAAATCCAATTACGAATAAAAGCAAAATGTTGTACCTGCATCCGGGATCTCGTCTTCATCAGTCCACAGTGGAGGAAATGACAATTTAATTGACGGAAATAGCCGATGTAACTAGAATATAATATCATAACATGTGACGGTGTGTATTCATTGTTTATAAAAAAAAACTATTAGTGTTATTTTAAAAGTAAATGCAGAACTAGTTCAAAATACACAATAGTTCATCTATTAGGAATGGTGAGCAGAAGTTTATTATTAGTTTGTAAACAAAAATATTCAGTTCATGTGAGAAACACAAGTCTTACTCTGATGGACATTTTATCTCCCGATATAGCTATACAAGTAGTGAGTATTTACGAATGTATCAGGTATGAAGTTTTAGTATGGCTAAAGTAGTATTATTTTTTTTTGTCGGTGAGCAGAGCTGAATGTGGAAGCTTCCACGTGACTTGATATCATAAATGAGTCTTTGGAGAGTTTCGGAGCTTTAGTCGAAATAACTAAGAGCAATACAACTGGAAAAGACAAACAGAAAATGGGAACTTGAATATTTTAAAATAAAAAGGTGTAAAACACCAGGAGTATTTTATCCAATTTACATAATTAATGTACTAAGAACGGAAGTTATAAAGCTACATTATTTAAAAATTAACACACACAAAAAAAAAACAATTCAGAAAAGTAGATTTAGAATTTTAAAAATATCATTAAAACTATCTTTCATTAGTCATTGTATTTTGAGTAACCAGTACCAATTTTCTTGTGTATGTATTTTCCAAATCCTGAATGTAAATCACCACTAATTCACTGGTGCTACAACTGTGCCATTGAACAACGCTATAGTCGGTTTTAGTCGCTGCTCAGTAACATCAGTTTAAAACCGGCTGGTAATATAGTTAAACACGTTAAAGTGCGTATTGTATTTAGCAAACAGCAAATGACAGCGCGAACTAAATGCATTCACGTGGTGAAAAGTCTCTAATAAAACGTCAATGATTGAGTCGTCTTGTAAATATATAAAATAACACTAGTTGTAGAAGATGTTAATGAAACGCAAGCGTCAATAAAAGGCGCGACACGGAATGTGTTGCCCTTATTCATCATTTCAATGAATGGGATACATCAACCGTTGTTAACGCGCACAGAGTACATAGACATATACATTTACTAAATCCATTAACATTCAGCCAGTCAGTCAGTGAGATTGACAGCCACAATCTTGTGCTAAATTTTCATTGATTGATTTGATTGATTTATTCATACTGTATTTGCGAGTACTTAAGTTTCAATACCATATATGCCTCTGTATATGCAGCTGTCCCCACTAGACAATATAAATATGTCCCTCTGTAATCTTTAGAAATTATTAAATTATATGCCTACCTCTTGATTGAGTGTTAGTAAATCATTGTACAGTTTTTCAACTTTATATATACCCGTCTCTGTGTGTAACTGTAAACTATATGCCTAGAATATAAAGTGGTGTATCGAACATATCATGTTGTGATTGGCTTCAATATGAGAACAGAATAACAGAAAACATGCCCATAGTATGTTTGAATTTCAATAATTTAAATTCGATTCGATGAATAACCAGCTTATAATTCTACAGTAGATGACACAGTTAAAGTTTGATTTGTACAAGCCTATTCAATAACCATCTACTTTCGAAGTCATGACAGAATTTGTAGATGTTTTTTTTTTCTCATCACTGAAACAACAGAATGAAACTGCATTAATTTACTACTTACGTACGATTCAATGATATACTGACCCTCAGATTGTTTTTGCTCCACGTTCTCGCCAAGTCTTCCACAGTTTCATCTTCACTGTCGAATGATGTATATGATACAAAATCTGTGTCATCCCAATTACTTAGATCCATTTATGTGACTACAGGTAACTACCATTACTAAGAACGCAATTACACATTCATAAATTGGATATTTTACATTTTCTCAGTCGTAAATAATGCAATTAATGCAAGATGCATGTACATTTCACGTGACAGGCCAAGTGAAATCAGCGGCATTATGATGTTCTGATTTAATTGAGCGAACGTAGTATTTTTCTAAGCAAAGTCATTTGGTGCCAATCGTTAGATTTTATTCGTAAATATTGTGGATTATTTTACGAATATGCGTGATAACAATTGCAAATAAAAACAATATTCGATGACCTTAATCATCAACTAGGTTCTAATAGTACGTTCCATCGCCATTATTACTATTTAACTTCTATTATTATAAATTCTCAAAGTTTTAGTTGACAGTAAAATAACGAGCAGAATATTTTAAGACGTGTACGTCGATCACAAGGAACCCGAAATATAGACGTTTTAGCAGAAAGTAGTTGCAGAACATTAATCAAGCTAGGTTTTAAAGTATTACCGTTCAAAGGTTTTTTTTCACATAAACACAACATAATTGGCACTCACATAAATAGAAAATATTCTTGAATGAAAATTTAGGGTGTTCGCCCCTAAACCAATTCGTATTGAAGTGTCAGCAACATTTCACGTTTCGAGACTTGTTACGGTGTTAATTATATGCAACAAGTTACCGATCACGGTATCCAACTGGAACTCGTGAATTAAATGTCATTCATTTGCCTGTGTCGATAAGACAGTCAGTAGAATCAGTTATAAACATTGTAATCAATGCCAAGGACACTAACAAAAAAAAGAGAACTACACGTACACACGCGTTAATGTGTAACTGGAATTGTGTAGTAATGTATATTATCGTAATCAATCTTTACTAGGACGATCGGCAGACCCATCGAATTGACGTGTCCTACCTAAATAAAACAGTAGTGCGCGAAAACCTGGCCTCCTCCTTCACCTACATAACGAGGATGCACATAAAGAGAAGTGGTTGTTTGGAGACCAAGGAATGTCGCTTGGTGATACAACACAGTCGTTACCTTGATATATAATTAAATGCCGGGTAATTAAATATCTCGCGAGACTATTTCTGATGAATACAGCTAGGATAGAATTAGTATTTATGTAGGTATATTTACTGGTACTCTATGGCAATCTACGCATAATCATTGGTGTCGATGAATTTTTGAGTTGGTATGAATAACAGTAGAAGAGAGGTCTTAAACTACTGTTTATATATCAACAAAACAACATCAGCCCGCATTTAATTTTAGGTACACGCAAAATAAGGTAGTTCCGTCATTGAGATGCCACAAACATCATACACAACTACGCCAAGCGTCGTGGTATCAGAATGTTGTATTATATATCACAGACGGATTGCCTTCCAGTCGTCGATTCGTCGTGTGTGACGTCTGCACAAGGCTATTACAAGTTGCAATCAGGGGTATTGTGATTGTTGTAGACTCACCTGAAACGTTCTTTGCGTATTTCTATATGAGTCCAGCGCTGACGAGAATAAATTATGTTGTCAACGTAGACCCGCTTGTTGAAGGATAGCGTCCGCCATGTTATGATATGATATGATACGCCGGTCATGGGTTCAAAGTTTAATGACATTATATATCAATACGCCGCCAACGCAAAGTGATAATGTATATCAGTACGTTGCAAGTCAAAGGTGAAACGGTGTATCAATACGCCGCCAATTAATAATGATATGGCATAGCTATACGCCAAAAGTGATCCGGTATACAATTAGCCTACTAAAATTGACATGCTATATCATTACTCAGCCCACCAAATGTGATACGCACTGCACTACGCACTGAATTATGCGTACTTCTGTTGAATTGAAGACACAGACTGGTTGATCAGTTCCATTTACATTCTCATAAAAATATAAATAAATCCGTAATAAATATAAACCCGTAATTGGTAAATAATCGAATATAAAGAAGAAAGCACAATAGATTGACAAACATATTTGATGCTCAAACCAGAGTGAGACGAAAGTATTTGGATCTGACAGAATACAGCCAAGAATAGATGCTACGAAAATATGCAAGCACATTGGAATTGCGCCGACAAATATTTATTTGCGTTTATACACAGAATTAAATTTACGCATTGCAATAACTAGATGCGTATCAGTCCTTCCGTATGCATTCACACACAAAAATGAATTTGCATTTTTAATTATTAAATGGATCCTTTTGGTTATGGTATTTTCCACACGTGCCATAGTTGTTTGCACAGAATGAATGACTGCAGCTTCAATTTATTTCAGGTTTACGTCTAGGGACTAGCTAAAACCGCGAAGCGTATGTCTTAGTAGTGCAAGCAAGATCTGTATAATATGAGATTATTACGAGGGTACCGCAAATCATGCACGAAGACAGTACAGCGGAAGTATCGACTGACGCACAGAGAAGGTCGATGCAATCGTCTACTGTCTGAGTGCATACTTTGCAGTGTCCTCGTAATAACCTTTATATTATACATCTTTTCCTCCCCGGAGTACATCGTGGGAATGCCGAAATCCCAAACGTTTAGAACAGATATAGCGAAATTATTTGTGTGAGGCCCGGTCAAACCCTGGGGCTGCCATGTTTGTTTTATTATTAGAGGACGCTTACGCGTGTAATCGTTCCATATTTGGAATTCTCATTTCCTAATATGGTAGGATGAAAATACCCAGTGCAATACCGCAAAATTACGACACGCTGTAACTAATGGCGTTACGGTGACAGATGTATAATAATATGTAATATTGTATTTATCATGTTTGCTTCTAGTGAGAATCACGTTATATTAACACACTATGGAAAAACCGGTACAAGTTAATTAATCGGTAAAATTTAGATTAAACTTGTGAAAGTGTATTTATCATTCCACACCGTGATGACAAATTGATTAAATCTCCCTGACCACAATTCAGCTTATATGTAGACCTAGCAAAAGTGGTAACAAAAAAAACCCTGTCATATAAATATAACCATGTCTTGACAAATTTACATTGTTTTGGGTATTCTTACTGCATCTATAAAACCATGCCGTTTTGTTATTTTCAACTTGCCAACAAAACACGTATTAGTCAAAACAGATTTCGGCACCGGCACAACACTCGCATTTATCCAATATAGGGGGAACACTACTCTGCCAATAACAACATGATAACATGTGAGTAAGCAGGGCTAAGCCAAGGATTTCGTTAAAGATGTATTGGTTTGATAACATTATCATTGTATTCAGAATCATTTCACTCATAATATTAAAATTAAGGATAATGCAATTAGCAAATATTTGTTTAATGTTTGTTTGTTTACTTGAAACAAAAAAAAATCATTTTGAAATACCACTTTGATGTAGTTATCAAGTATCCTGGCTAATATATTTTTCATGATATTTTACCAAATATGCATTTTAGGCACAAAACAAGATTTTATGCATTTATCTGGAATATATATAATAAGACGTGTTCAAATATCATCTTCCACATCTTTCACGTCGTTTAAAAAAGTCATTAAAAGGTGTGTCCCATATTCGTTGAGTTAGAGAGTCAACCTGTGGACGAAATCTGTATTGAGAAAAAAAATACAACGTGCTAGAAATGCATGTGTCGATCCACATTCTATGTATTAGTAAAAATCGATTTTTCAAAAAACAGGTTCGTGATCAGTTTATTGTTATCTATAAAAAATACACATATACATTTAAAAGGATGTTTAATAATTATACATGAATTTAAGTAATGGCAAGTTTTAATTATATATGATATATACTAGTGTGGTTCGTATGGCGCAGTTTCATAAGATTGGTTTCTGTGTTGAAAAGATGGACCCACAGACGATATACCAATATTCTGAATAGAAAGAAAAATATAAAATGTATTATTTGTTCAATGTGAATACTTTATAACAAACACGGTGAAACATTTATTGCAGCAATGTGATTTTTATGCGACAATGCTCACCAAATGAATGAGCCGCGTAGATTGCAAAATTAGATCTGAATATTTACCTGTTTGCGTTTCGTCTAATACAATTGATCCCATTGTAAGCTCTCACATGAAATTGCTCTTCCCAATTGATGTTGTACAACTCTCTTTTCGTTTTTCATAAAGAGAGGTTTGCTCTATATAAAAAAAACAGAATATAGCGGTAAATAACAAATATTTGGCAATTTGTTACTCTTATTCTCTTCACCAGTCCCACAGTAAAATCATTGTGCAATCAAATATAAGACAAGGTGCTGCCAAAATGAGAAAATTTCCAACAAATGCTGTGAGGCAATTCTCACAAGTAAATTTGGTCTATAATTCGCTGACTTTTTTTTGGACTAAACATCGGATTATTTCGTCACTTAATCATTTTATTGACTGTAATATAACTTAGTCAGACCTTATTTATTAAAAAAATTAAAACGTAATTATGGTTCACACTACGGTTGGTATGACATAATACAAAAAGATAAAATCGATTGCGTGATACATTAATATAATTTAGAGTTGAGTAGTGTTGGGTTGTCTGGTAGACATCAGCTAAGTCAAAACCAACATTTTCAGTAAATTGGTGGGCAAGCTTGCCAACTCATTGCCCCAATGGGATTTGTATAATCCCCTAAACCTGTTCATACTCGCCTTTGTATTCATTGCTGTAATTTTCGTCGGAGATTTTTCTTTGAATTCTACTTCATTTCCAGCATCCTTGCGATACGACACGATGGTTTTAGGGTCGCCTGCTGGCTTAGCAATTTCCATTGTGGACTTGATCAGTTCTTTTCCACGCTTCATCCATTGAGATGCGAATGCATTAACCTTACCGGACGCTGACTGCAGAAACAATATTACATATATGACTAGTGTAGTAAATTGATTGAAATAGGATGGGACAAATTGCAACGTAATTTACATGTTGATAACCTGTGACATATTTGTAATTCATTAACATAAAATGAACACCTAATAATAAACAACAATATATATGACATACACATGAGCTGTAATGTTTGTCTGGGCGACAAAGAGCGTCGCGTAAAATTAAGTAATTACGCATGCGTCGCCGACGAGTCCTACGCGACATCAAATGTACGTATATTTAGCAATTTAATTTGTTTCACAAAACAAATAACATAAAATATGGAACTCAGTTTAAACTCAATATTGTTATGGTGATGTCCAATGAAAATATTTGAAGCTAAAATTTAACTACGCCCTATTAGTCCTACAAACATCCGTCCTACAAACTCCATGTATCTTTCCAAAGTTTAAAACGGGGGAGTCATGCGTCAGGTCATTGTTTACAAACACGCGTCTACCCATGAGCCTTTCGCGTTCTTAGCGTGTGTTATTATCATCGCTTGGGACTCAATTGCCGCGCGTGCGCAGGTGATGATTCTCCCGCTTTAACAGATTCGGACATAATATACGTACTTCATTTGGGCATTCCGGAATCGATGGTAGGCAACTTGATGTGGCGTGGTCGAGATAGTCGTCCGTATCCGACTCTGTTGGACTTTCATTCATGTCATCATAGGGCAGTGACTTCGAGTAGCATTGTTTCATTTCTTATTTAAAATAGAATAATTAAATATGAAAAAGTTTTCAATAGACTGATATTAAACAATGTCAAATAGCATAGGGAATTGTCGTATATTTTTAATAGCACCGAACACAGACGTTACTTACCTGTTTTTGCAAGTTTGTCGAAAACAGAAGACCAATCTTGCGTAACATACTCCTGCCGTGTGTCTTCAACACGGTTGGAGGCAGTACCTAAATGTTCCCATAGTCTGTGAATCTCATCTGTAGGAAATATTTATTTACAAAGAATATAAACAAAATCTTTCAATATACGTGAAATTGAGTGGTGAATTGATCGTATTGTGTGTTAGAATCTGGAGACACCAAAGACTGCAATGTAATATTTTCAAAGTATCGCGAGGTGTCGACATCCGACTTATTGTGAGATGAATATGTATAATCGAGGTATGTGGTATTTCATTTCGAGTATTTTTTTTTTCAATATTCGATCGTGCACACATTTAACAAAGGTGAGCATTAGAACCATAAACAGTGTGCCTCGATCGGAACATCGTCTCGATATAATTTTTAGACATGTAATGTGTATCACGGTGTATCATTAGCTTTAATTCACGCTACCTTTGACTACATTAGTGGCAAGTCGGATACATTCAAGTTGATCGCTTGAGTAAAGAGCATCGCTTTCGCTGATAGCTTCAAGTTCTTTGCTTATATCTGTAAAGTCTTCTTGCAACACTGCTATGGTCCTTTTAGGCAAAGAATACTCTTTGTCTTTCTCAGTTCGAGTTTCGTCTGACAAGTGAACAACTTGTAATACGCCTAAACCTATTTATGGTAGAAATCCAGTGATTTGTTTTATAGAGAAACAAGTTGGGTTTACGTGTATGTTTGGGGTGGGGAACAAAACGTATTCGACACATAACACATAATGAAGTCGCGGGAAAGGTTGTATGCAAATTGAGATGTCTGGATATTTGTACAAAATTTAATAAAATTATAAATTGATTCAAGATTCACC